TCTCCGACTCAGTTTTACGATATCTATAAATTTGTACGTTAGGCAATATCACGTAAAATCAACTCATTATTCATAATCATTTTATATCAACCATTTGCTACTTCTCACATCACACGCAATGGCTTCGATTTTTCACGACTTGAAACATAAGAGAGAGTGGAAACTGACGGAGTTGAAACGTATCTCTGCATTTTCTAGGGATTTTACTTATGAGGTTTGTTTGTAGGAAATGATCCTTTTGTCAGACCTGGGGATCAATCATGTAACTTTTCCCCTAGGGCGGAAATGTGAAAAGTGAAAAGTTTCACGTGAACTTACGATCATGTACGATTTTGCGGGATCATGTAACTCTCTCAAACGTGAAAATGTGAAATTTTTCACATGAACTTTTTCGCCATATACTTTGGTGGCGAAAAGGCGGAAATCTAGGGAATTAATAAATATGCTTCGGAATTAGAGAAGATTAGGGCTGCGTTAGGATTAAGTGTACGTAGTACATATACAATTGGTTATTAAAAGATGTATATAATATTGTACCAATAAAATAATTTTCATTAGCTATAAAACTTATGAAACTATGTTTCATGATTTCACTTTCCACGCATCCAAGCTACATACATAATCGCTGTACGTGAAGTTTCACGTGAAATGTCAAGGTATGAAAAATAAAAAGTAAAAAATGAAAAATGAAAAGTGAAAAATTTCATATAAAGTTACATGATTGACTCCATGGATGCTTTCTAACAAGGAGAGTTTGGTGTTACACAGTGTGACACAGAGAGACACAGTTATAAAATTTAATTGGAACACATAAGTTACTAAATGCTCACTAGAGAGCATAAAAGACGTAGAAGAAGACCATCACGCATAAACATGAGCGCATTTTTTTTGTTATCATTATCGTTATCATTTTTCGTTATCCATTATTGCCAGTGCATTTTTTGAAGAATTATTGATATATACTGAAATAAATTTAAGTAAATTATATATATTGATTATTTTATTCCTGGCCCTACAAAGCGCTTTATTTTATATTTGTAAATAGCTATTCGGGGGCTCGAGTCATGCTTGATGCAATCTCTCCTGTCGTGCTCCAGGAGGATTATTTGTATATTTGCCAATGGCGTTGGAGGATGTCGCCGCTGCAGTCCGACCTGCATCCATCGAGTGAGAGACCAACATCGCTCTGGAGTACCGGGTCGTGGGGATTCGAAAGAATACATGTATATATGTATATTGTAATATATATATATATATATATATATATATATA